AAAATGTACAGGCTGTATGCACCACTAGCGGATACTGGATTTAGGTTTGAGGGGGGGGGGAGGGGCTTCAGCCCGAAAGATTATTTTTTTAAATATATAACGATATTTACTTAGGAAAAAAAATAAATAAACTAACTATATGAAATAGAGTTTAAGTGATTCTTTAATTACTATTAACTGTAATTTCACGAACAATAATCCTTTTATAGGTAATTATTATTATTATTATTTTTTTGGCATAAGACATGGTTATATTTTTCCATTTTTTGGGAGGTTTTACCATTTTCCGAAAACCCCTCTCTCCTCCCTCCCCCACAGTATGCACCTGTGGTATGCACAGTATGATTTGTAATTTTGAAGATTTACTCTGTAGCTGACTTGCTTAAGGAAAACTAATTCTCATTTTTCCAAGGCACATTTAAAATCCGTGAAACATTCTTCTCTATTTTTAAAAACTGTACATTTAGAGAATAGTTTTGTTGTACCAGTAGACGATACTGTTTGGTTTGAAATGTTAATATAGCTGACAGAGATGAGAACAAGGATGTAATTATGCAAAATAAGTTATTGAATTTTTATATTTTTCATTTTAAGATAGAAATAAAAAAAAATTACCTTTGCCTTATTATAAAACTAATCTCTTGTGTTTCCTGATTTAAATTTATCAGTAAATGCTAGACACTATTATTTACAATAGGAAAACCTATTTTTGCTTTGTATTTGTTCAAAATCACTAGCAGATTTTCTTTAAACATGAGAATAGTTTATGGTCCATTTTTAAGACCCGTTATATTGAGTATATCTCTTTGGATTTCTGTGAATACAGCCATTTCAGTAACTGGTGAAAAATCCAAAATAAGGCTCCAGTAACTGACACACTCATTACATTTTGTAATACATTTAACAATATACGTTAAAAACAGTCCAATAAAAATAAAACATAAATTTTTAGGTAATAGGCTGCAATCACCCGTATTGCCTTATAGGCAGGGAAATAGAGAAAATAAAATAATAGTATAAATTAGCAAAAAAAGATACACCGTTGCTAAGGTAAAAAATGAATTGTGCTTCAGGATGATTCCCAAGGAATAATCATGAAAAAATAAACTAAAAACTTGTCCTATATTGAAAACATTAAAAAAAAATTAACACTTGCCCATTAACCCAGATTTTTTTTCCAGCCATGTGTTCACAGTTGAGGCTTATTACGATTCTCATCGAGACACAGTGGGACCGATTGTCGAGCTAGGAAATCAAAATATGAGAAATTTAGCATCCTTTATCTAAATAGTTGGTGACCTAAAGAGTGTCTTAGTAAAATTCCAAAGTTCATTTAATCTCTCACTGCAATATACACCATAGTTAGGTTTGGATCTACGGGGAACTTTCGGGCTGAAGCCCTCTCCTTTTAAAATGATGAAATGTAAACATGTTTATGGAAAAAGTATTAAATAATTATATCTTTAAGTATTATTTTTCGTTTGATTACATTTATTTGGACTTCAAGTATCACTTAAATACCATTTCATATATGTAGTTAGTTTCTTTTTTTTTCAAAAATAATTATCGTTATATATATGAAAAAAAACCTATCAGGCTGAAGTTCCCCTCCCCCAAATTAAATCCTGGATCCACTAGTGACCCCTCCCCTCTCCCCAGTTGACAAATAGTTTCAATATTACTTTATTTAAAGATTAAATCAGAGCCTGTCTACGTTATTGCTTATGACTGCTTTTGATAATTCAGTTAACTATTTTTCTTTTTTATTGAATTAATTTAGGTTTAACCATGATGTTGGTTAAAATTTCATGTAAAAAATGGGTTAAATAAATTCTTTGAAATGCATAAATAACGCTTATATAGTCTGTGAAATACCCTTCCAGGTATCCCGCCTCTACTATTATTTTTCATTTTGTAGCATTTTATATATTTTTTAAAGTAATATAGGTCACAGTTGCCTAAGCACACTTTTTTTTAAATTATTTCAGAAAACATAAACTAAAGTTTTTGAATCAGTTTTTTTTAATCTTATTAAAACTTTATGAATTAAATAATAAAACTCATACAGGTTTGAAAGAAAATGTTGCCCTATTTACATAAAAAATAAATGATCTTTGTAAAATTGCTCGAATTTATTTTTTTGCAAGAAATGTCGTAGCTGAAGTATATTTTCAAGACTTGATAATCATTCTTCCTGAGGTTTCGAGAGAACAGCGAGACCGAATAATGATTTTTGTTGCTTCGAAAAACTAATGAGTGGAAAGTAAAGGATATAATATAGCAGAGGTGCCCAGAAGGGGTATGCGTGGCGCTAGTCTATAAAATTTTGAGGGAGCACATTTTTACGGAGTTATGGATTTTTTAGTGCAAATATTTTCAGACTAAGTAAACATGGAAAGAAAAGATCTAAGGAAATAAACGGGAAATTTTAATTGTAGTTAGAAGGCGATCATGAGGAACTTCAGTCAGAGAGTATTTTTCCTACGGATATCAATACTGAGGATGAGGAAATCAATTAAATTAATTTGTACACAATATTTTTCTTTTATTTATGTTATTATTATTTTTTTCTTTGGAAGTTCTCTAAAAAATATATATATATTTACCATAAATTAATGTCATATTAAGTAGTTTAAACCATAAAAGTTTTATTTTTATTTATTTCTGACGAATACATGATTTCCAATCGAAAACTATGGTTATTATGTATAATAAATTATTTTTTTCTATTTTTTTAAAGTTCAAGCAACTATATATTTTTTGGTATATTTACCATAAATTAATATTATATTAAGTAATTTTGACCATAAATTTCCCATTTTTATTTATTTGTGACGAATACATGATTTCCAATCGAAAATTATGGTCATCATATATAGTAAATGTTTTTTCAATATTAAAAAAAATTCTGGAAATTTTTTTTTGTATTTGTATCAGAAATTAATGTTATATTAAATGCATTTAAAACATGAAAGTCTTATTTATATTTATTTGTGACAAATGCATCATTTCCAGTCGAAAATTGTGGTCAATGAATTTTGTCCTCCTAGGTCGGTCATCGGCTCCACTGTGCGACATTGCTCAAACAACGGCTGATTTTTTTAATACGAGGAATAGAACTGGTCGAACATTATAGCCAAGATTTTATTTTGCATTTGTAACTTGATAAATTATGAATATTATCATCCCTGAAAGATCTACAATTAATAATATAAGGAATACATTTCTTTATTATTTATTATTATGTTCGTTTTTTTTTTTTATTTCAATATATAGTAAATTGGCCGGTGCAATTAGACGAAATTCCCCCAAAATAAAGGTTACCCAAAAACCTAATTAATAGACACTAAATTTTTAGTAAAAGGTCCTGCCAATTGAAACTAGCGGAAATAGTAGTTACTTAAACAACACAGGAACTGAATAAAAAAAAGACTATAGCTTTCATCATGGCTTCCATTTATTGTCATTTCCGTTAATTAAGTCTTATTAATTACTCATGTGTTCTCCATTTGCCTGTTTATCTGTTTTGTTTTTTATTGTATTTTTATTTTATTTACTAAATTCCATCTTGTTTTTAACACTTATTTTTTACATTTAAAAAACAAATATGACTACCTTCAAATGCGATATTTGATCATGAATTCATAGCAAATAGAAACAACTTGTTTGTATAAAGGATAAAGAAAAGATAAAGAAATTTAATATAAAATACACACAGAACAATAATCATATAACAACAGCGCTCTAAAATCTCTCATATTTATATTCATGTTATTTGGTGCCGCCAAATTAGGATCGATAGCAAATAAGGGAATACTTTTTTGTGGTAAATTTTTATATGACCCAGATTTTTAAGGTCTCTGAACACAAGGTTTTCTGCAGGATATAAAATGAAAAGTGAACTTTTATTTTCAACAGTTCTAATATGACTGGAACTTTTATTTTGTATTGACTTTCTGTTATTTCAGAAATAAAACTTTTTTCCAAGGAAATTTTCGATTTAAGGTTTCATGAAACTTTCATTTTTAAAAACTTCTTTTTAAGGTTCTGTTTTGCTTTTAAAGTTAAAGCAATTCATTTTTCAAAAAAATAAATTTAAAAATGGTAAGTGTGCATTACATTCTTAGTATGATCAATCGAGCAATTAATCCAATATAAATTTATCTGTAATCTAAACCAAATTATAATGTTTGTTTCTCATTTAACGTAACATTTTTTCAAGGGCTGAAATGAACAAAAGGTAAACTTGTACAATAAACCCAGAACTTCATAATGAAAAAAGTTCAAAAGAACTTTTATTTTAAAACATTTTTTCCAAAAAAAATGCTAAAAAAGAAGTTTTTAAAAAAAGTTTCAAGTCCTGGTTTTGATCTAATTTTTTTTTAAGAACTGACTTGGGAAGAGGAATAAAATAAAAACTGGACTGAGTTCTTGTTTTGCCTTCAAACCATTGTACTGATGATGACCCACATTCTTGGGCTGAAACGTAGACAAACTTAATAAAAATAAGTTTTTGACTGCACATCCTGACCATTTTTCATCTTTACAATTTCAACAATTAACTATTTCCAAGTTTTTTTATTCAAAATATGTCAACTTTGGCACTTTTTTTTCATCTATATCTTGAATACAAAATTATATATATACAAAATTAAATTAATCAACATTTTCTACATTTTATGGACGTTTTTCTCTATGGTCAACAGATAAGCTGTTAGAGCCTGTAGGCTAAATTCCTATAGGCTAATTTTCTATTGAAACTACCAATTTTCGCTTCTATTATAAAATGCGTAAAAATATACGAAAAGAGCATTTTCTACCCATTTGGTATATCGAGCCAAATATAATCATCTTTTGAAAATAGAGGACTTTGACAGAAGAATGTTTTATTAAAATAACTTCTTGGGGATTGAGAATACCCTAAAATACTAAAATTAAGTGAGATTTGATCAACTTAAATTTATCTCGGTTCTATACTTTCTTTTCCGTTTCCAGAAAAGAAATAAACTAAATGAGGGACAACACTGTATTAGTAAATATAAAAATTGACACTTGTAGCGCTAGTGTTTTCGGCGGGTTATAACCTGGAATATCCTTCTTTTAAGTTTGTTGTTCTCTTTAAGTTTTGTGATTTCAGTTAAATAATTTAAATATGGCTGAAGAGGATCCTTTAGAAAAATCTGTCCGACTCTTGGACGAGGCTCTCAGAACTCCTTCTCACCCCATTAGGTTTAATACTTCACATAAGTTCTCTCCTTACACAACTCCAAATATAATGAGACTTGAAGGTATCTAATGTTAATGCAATAGGATCAGATTTTCAATTGAGGTTTCACAATGGAGTATAAAAACATAAATATATACATTTATTTTTCGGTTTTAGAACATGAGGACTCCTTTAGTTTCGACACTGACAATCTCGAAAAAAGACGACTGAGGCGGTCAGATATATTAGATTTGTCCATCACTTTAGAACCGGGAGAATTATCTCGGATATGTGATGTTTCGGGGGTTATGAATGAGAAATCTATGATCAACGTTGAAGCTGGTAAGCATTATTTGACTCAATAATGTTTCGCTAAACAGCTTATCACATCAGTGTATTTGTACTAGAACTTTGTTATCATGATAAAATGTTTTTAACTGCAAACATGCAGATTTCAATTATTTAAAACAAATACTTATTTCAGTTATAGCTGTTAATGGAATCATGTAGTTGATATGTATCTAATTATTGTGAAATGAAAATATCCATTTCTAGTGAAACAACTTTTAATGTTTACAGGTATCGATAATCTTTTATCCCAATTCCAATCTACATTTCAAACTTTTGGTACAACACAAAGTGTATTTGAGGCTATTTCCAGTTTCATTGAAACCTGCACTAATACCATTGATACCCTGTACAGAACTCAGTATACTGCACAGGTAAAATCGAATTGGTTTTTTATTTTATTTTTTTATAATTTGAATCCATAGTCATAAATTTTGGGTTATTTTATGTTTCTTCCTATTTATAGGATATAAGTTGGTTGGTTAATGAACGGAATACATGGAGATTAATTCATGCTCTTTATCGAGATCGTGCTCTGAAGTATGATGAACTTCAAGAAGCAATGACAGTGGACTATTCCATTGAACGTTCTGAAAAAGAACTGCAAGAACATTTTTATAAAACTAATCGTATAGTTAGAGAGGTATTGTTTCTGCATATTACTTACTATATTGTTCATTTTCAATTTTCATCATTAAGTACAGCATATATATTAGTATATATATATATTAAATTAATACCGGCATATATATTTTAATTTCATAATATTAGGTTCAGATAGTCATCGATTGGTTAGAGAGAATAGCTCGTGACGAGTGGACTATCCTCAATAGATCAGAAGTAGGTCATTACACAGATAGAACAGTCGCTTGGGAGAACACTCTACACAGCCTTCAGTCCGGAGATAGAGTATTGTTTCGACCAAGTCGGGAAATAGTGAGCAGTCTTGACCCTGATGCTCCACGAAGGCAGAAGAAACCTCTTCATGACATTGACCATGAAGACGATAGGCGGCTATTGCAACATGTAATATATCATTAATTATTATATTTACATTCTTTTAAACATTTATCTTTCTTTTTTTTAATATAATAGTTGTGCAGCCTTATTAAAATGCATATTTACATTGATAACTTATAGGTATTCCTTGAGATACGTTGTGGGCGGTTGGAAAAAGCAGAGGAACATTGCCTGCATTGCGGTCAGCAGTGGAGAGCTGCAACGCTAGAAGGTTGGCGACTCCACCACGATCCTAACTATTCAGAGCATTCTATTGACGGCACCAAACTACCTATTGAAGGCAACCCTCACAGGTCTTTATCATTAATTATCAAACTCTAGATTAAAGAGATTATCCTACAGATAACCAGATTACTAGAATGTAAGATCAAGATTCAATCCATAGTTGAACCACAAAATAAATACCATCCCATCCTAGCCGGATTTTAACTGGTGTCTCAGACGCACTGCTATTAAGGTGGTGTCTTAACATTCTCGGCTATCACAACCTCAAAATTAAAGTACCTTAGAGAAAATAAACTTAACCAGGTTTTGATAAATCGTGAGATTTAATTGTTGCAATATGTTTTAAACATTTCTTTTTAAGTATAAGAGCATTTATTATATTTTGGAAACAAATTCTGTGGCTGACCATTGTTCCATCGTGTAATCATTCACCTTCGTGTGCAATCATGTATGCATGTAAAAGTGAAAAATGCATTCATATATGGTTTGCATGTAAAAGTCTACTTGCACCGAAGAATAAATTTTAAGATAATTGACATTATAAGAAATTATGATGATTTATAAAGTAAATTAGCCAAGTCGGAATACTTCCCTGGATCTTGTACCGGTGAAATATTTGAACTAATTATCTGTAGAATGCCCAATAAAATTTTTATTTTTATAATGAATTTCAGAACCTTCCAAAATATAATATAAGTTCTGATTCGATATAAAATTTTTCTCTTAATAAAAAGTAATTACTGATTTTGTGTCTGATGTTTGGATTTTTATTTTCAAATCACCTAAAATCAATTTCAATTGAAACAAGTTTAATTAGAAAATACCTAAGAAACTGAACTTATAACGTAACATGTTAAGTAGAGTTACTTTCGACTTTAGTACATTTAGTAGAAAAAAATATCATCTATGATGTTATTCCGATTTTGATCAAGAAACTTCACCTCGCCAAAGGGATTACAAGGTCATTGGTGGTCTGCACTAATGATTGAAAATCAAATTATTTTAGTACAATGTCTTGATCAGGTAACAACAATGTAAACAGGTCTGCAAAGTGTTATAATGTACTATACACCTTCCAACTTACTTTCTACTATGATCAAGAATACCTTTACCATCTTTATATATTTCTCAAAGGTGTTTTTTTGTCACTAAGTCATATCTTTGTCAATTATTCATCAAATCTAATGATTGTGATGTCAGAGATATAGCCTATAGTAATGTACACATGTTATTGTTTATTATCATGAATGCCATAATGTGATTCCACTGAGAAAAAGAAAATTATTTCATCTATCGCATAATGTATTGCACTAACTTATCTGTATTATATTGCCCTTTGTTCACTGACCAATATACTATGAGAATTATTTTCACGGACCAACTAGTTATTATTATTTTAAAATGTGCTAATTTTTGTTAAAACTTATTACAAATTGGAAGTTTATTATAAGCAAATCTGTTTTGTTTTAGGGATATTTGGAAACTCTGTGCTTGGCAACTATGTTCTGACCCTTACACTCCTCAAGAAGAGCGAGCAGTTATGGGTGCTTTGTGTGGTCATCTCGATTCACTATTAGCTGAAGCCGGCTCATGGGAGGACTTGCTCTGGGCAGAAAGCAGGGTTTATGTGGATATTAAAGTAGAGCAGGAAATAAGGGACAACTCGCTGAGGAATTATGTTGACATGCCTAAAGAATATTGGAATAACCAGTAATTAACTTAATTTTAAACATAGTTTAATTTAATTTGTAAGCAGTTATTTATTTATTTAACAATAACTTTATATTTTTGTGAAGAAATGACAAATGACGTTTTTAACACTCTGAAGGTCACATAGAAGGTCGCTACGGATCTGTGAGATCCAATTCACTAAATTAATTTATTGATCAAAAATACCAACTAATTTCTCATTGTAGTAAAATTAAAAGATTTAAGATTAGTTTTTAATATATATACTGAGTAAAAAACACAGTTACATAATTTTAAACAAATTTCAAAATAAAAAAAAAAATGCGTTGACAAAATTAGGAACTTGGACATTAAATTCTGTATACCATTAAATACGATAAAAAAATTCACTGAATACTAGGAATAATTATAACAGGTTTAAATTAGATACAAAAATAATTAATACAAACATGATAATAATATCAACTTCAGCCTCTGCCTCTAAAGGCCTCTAATTTCTCATTAATAGTCACGTCTGCTCCAACTGAATATCAAGATTGGCAGTTTCTGACAAACTCTTCAAATATGTCCCGGATAGTTGCCAGTCAATCTATTTCTTTGTGTTATAGAAGTGTTTCTTGGTCGTCAAATCTTAGATATTTTAAAAATTTCCACGTATGTCGTCAATCGTCAAGTTTTGGCACAAAAATTGGAATCAACACGGGTCACCCAATTAGTGGATTGTAAGACTTCAAGAGCTAGGAGAATATGTGGAGGGAGGGTCCTCTCCTTGCAAGCTGTGTAAAAAGACATCAAATAGACTTCATGGCAGATCTCTCAGATCTGGTGCAACCTATGGAGTGTTAAAAAAGTTAAATTTCAAATTTTAATTCACTTATATTTCTTTTCTTTCAGAAAAACGTTAGAAGCAATATTTTCACATGTGAAAGCTCACGACAAAGGAAGAGCTGAGGGAAATCGACCCGATAGGACAGTTCAGGAGTTGATTATATTGAACAAAGTTGATGAATTATTGAATAAGTAATTTTTTTTCTTAATTATTTTTTTTCATTTTAAATGTGGACAAAAATGTGATGTTCTAAACATATCGTGTAGTACTCGAGCATTTTTCTTGTTAATTTCATCAATCATCAAATAATGATAGTTAGACAATATGATAAACATTTATTCCTGATTGGTTTCACATTACCTCTGATATTGTTTCAAAATGCAGAGATATTTATTATTACACAATAGGAGCCCAATTCTGCTGCATTTTTTATAAATATAGAAATTTTGAATCGTGAACAATAGCCAATAAGAAAAATTACTATTTTACTTTTTCTATATCCTGTGTATTAAACATAATTTTGTTATGATTTAATTTAATTTCCTGCATTTTCTTATATCTTAATTTCAATGTAAAAAAGTTTATCCTGTTTTTGTTTAGGTGTTCAACTTGGGCTGAGGGACAATGTCAAGTTCAATTTTTGAGGTTCCTAGCTCATCTTGTTCTTGTATTGAGAATGCTTGGAAAATCTGAGCCAATGGAATGCGGAAACAATATCCTCGCAGCCTACATGAAGGTATGCCCATGGCAATGTTCTTTATTTATTTATTTTATGTCTTTGTTGTGAAAGTTTGTTACACAATCATTCTTTATCTACAGGCTCTTGTCGCTACTCAAAATCCTGATCTCATATCATACTACGCTTCCCTCTTACCCGAAGATAAGCAAATAGAACTATTTTCAGATTATATGGAGAGCGTGAGTGACCCTGATGAGAAAACTATTGTCCTAAAATCTGCTGAAAAATATGGCCTCAATATAAGGGCAGTCACTGAAAGAACTGTCCAAAATATAAGGTAATGTGACTATCAAAACCAAAAAGTAATAAACAAACAAAAAAAATTAAATTATTATGTCTATAAGGATAACAGCCTCATTGGTTATCACAAAAATGAAATTTTTTTTTTTTGTATTTTTGGTATATAATGAAAATGTGAATTCTTTTCCTAGGTTTCAATCATTATTCATTCTACTTTTCTTTTTTTCTTTTTTTTTGTGGAGCAATTTAAGTCATTTTTTTCAGGTATTTAATAATAAGTCTATTTAATTATAATAATAAAAAGGCTAAGCAAACCCCAAGCTTCGATGCCGATAACACCTATCACTCTCTTCATAATTCCATTCACCGGCCACCATCCAAACCTAACTTAGCCAGATCAGTCTTAATGCAATCTTCCCACCTTCACTTCAGTCTACCCATCAGATGCTTACCAATTGGCACAATGCATATTAATTTTTTAGGAATTATTTTATTTCTTAGCACAACAATTATACATGCCCATTTTATTTGCCCCAATGTAATCATCTCTCTATTTATCTCATTGGCACTACAAACCAGGGGTGGGTCTTGGCCTCGTCTAGGAGCTTCTGCCATTCAGCTTGATTCATTGCCGCTGCCTTCCAGTTTGGTGCTCCTAATAGTATCCTTGAGTCCTATTCTCAAGGACTTCTGGGAATATCATCCTCCTCCATCCGAATCACATGGCCAGCCCAACTTAACCTTCCAAGTTTTATGAAGTCGATGACATTTAAGTCGTTATGCAGAGTGTATAAATTCCAATTTCTTCGTCTTCTTCAAACTCCTCCTTCTTTTAGATACATGTGTCACAAAATTTTCTATTCGAATATGAGGAGGCTATTCACATCAGCCTGTGTCATCGTGCATGTTTATGAGGTATAAGTCAACACCAGCCTAATCAAAGTTCAAACACGGTCATACCTTTATACAATCAGGCAGGGAACCCCAATCCAGGCTTGTTCCTCCTACTATAGAGGGAAAAGCAGGACTCTAAGAGATCCTTTCGCTACTCTCTCAACCGCGTCACTGGTGCTAAAGCTGGTAGAGATTGAGCAAGAGCACTTTATTTGTGCTTATCCTTTTTCTATTCTTTCTAAGATTAAAAACATTGAGACCCGACATATTCATATTCTTATTGATATTTTGATATTTCATAACTATTCGTACAATAGGTATCAATATTTATATCCCTAACTCACCCCATCTTCCCTCCCCTCAGTGCTTCTGTTTTGAATAGTTCATGAATATGATAAAAATTTGTACACCATTTTCTCATTAATGATAGATATCATTACGATATTTCTAACAACGTCAAAGAGTAAATTCATTTTGGCTCTGCTATGGAAAATATTGTACGAGTCATGTTCACATGGTATGTCTACCCCTGAAATAACATTAACCATACTTGTTTTCAAAGCGGTTATCTGGTCAAAGAAAATGTAACCTGTTCCATTTTTTTTTTTAAATACTAATTTTGAGGATGCGGTTGTAGTGCTTCAGTTATAAATAGTTCCAACCGAATGATTGATTATTTATTGTAGGTAAATATTAAACAAACAATTCATTTCTACATCATATAATTTTAATTCTTCTACCAAACATCACTAATAATAATTATATTTATTTTCTATTATCCTAGGAATCGCCAGTTGGAAGAAGAAAGAGAGAACAAATCGTTAGTTCAAGAAACAACCGAAGAAGATATGAAGAAGATCTCGGCCCTGGAATGGATGGTGTTTTACCGAGAGCAGAGGGTTGAGGCGATATGGGAATGTAATGCTTTGGTGAGGGTATTCATAGCCGAAGGCAAGCTACCTGCTGCTCGTCTTGCTCATAACAAGGTACATTATTAACTCTAGGTGTCCCTGAAAATTCATTTAATCCATAATCGTCAATAGTCTTCATCTGAAATAAAAAGATTTATTGAAGATTTTTTAAAGCTTGATATCTTTATTTTGCTAAAAGTTTACTTCTATTGCATTTTTGGATTATATGGAGTGGATCCATACTAAATAACTGTAATATTTTTATTTTTGAACCTATTCCTTTTTTTTTTTTTAATAAACATTATTCGTCAGATGATTGTGTTTTCAACATATGACTCAAGCACATCTTCCAATCGTGTTTATTTTTATCTGATTGATTATTCAATTTAAAATATTTTATATGGTATCGCCTCTGCCTTAAGAGATAACGAGGTAATAGGTATCTAGAATATAATTAATCAAACAGAATTAATTATGGCATAAGTGCAAAATAGTTTATTTCCAGAGAAGTATTCACTGTGAAAATTAGCTTATTTGTAAAGCAATGTTTACAATTAATCCTCTGTAAAGGACACTGCACAGCAGTTCAAGGTTTGGATTTAATAAGGCACTTAAGAATAAGGTCGTACAAGCTGCTTTTCAAGCAGGAACACCATGTGAAAAAACATCAAATACAGACAGACGCACAGTAACAAAATTTTTGTGGCCAAACATACTTTTTATAGCGGAAAATTTGTCTTGTGTATTCTCAAACATACAAATATATCCAGAACTATTTTTTCATGCAGCGATTTTGCATTTGTCTTTTTTTTTTAAATCTCCATATTTTATATAAAATCATGAAATTAATGTACAGCAAAATTTTTCATACATGTGCATATTGGGGTGAGACAATTTATACAAACTTCGAAAATTGTTCATTGAAACAGATGCATGGATGATAACCAAAACTGAGACAAGGTGGAAACGAAATTTTCAATGTTTCCATATAAAAAAGCTGTGCACCATTTATAAAATGGCCCGTATGGCCATAGGCTTATGAATTACCCCATATTACCTTATTTGCTTGTCTTTATGTTCCTACATAAAAGCTATAATTTTTATTAATTAAGATGGCTAATATTGTTGATGAATAATATTTAAAGAAATTATGTATTTTCAGATTCCAGATGATTCAGTCAGCCTAATCGTATCGCAGTTCAATATTGAAGTTGATCACGATCTCATTGTGCACTGGGATAAATTTCCACCCAAAGTGAATGCAGCTCTAAAGGAATACCTCTGTTATAAAGCTTATCTTGTAGGTTTAAATGTTGTTATACTTTATGAAATAGTATACTTTTCTCTAATTTCAGTCATTTTTTTCTTTCTATCTATTGTTTCTTTTTTCAAGGATGCACATGATGGATTCAACCATTGGTTCCATCAGTTCCACAACACGAAACCTACTGAACCAACCAAACCGACCAATGGTGATTTTACCGAGCTCATGGCTTATGAACACAAGAATGAAAAGTATAAACAAGAACTTGAAAGGTGGAACATTGGCATGGAGCATATAACTAGGGTATTATCACCTTTTCTATTGATTTAGTTTTTGCCTTCTAAAAATATAATATATGTCACAATAAAAAACTTAAAATGAATTTGTGTGAAGTATATAAAGTCTTAATTATTCTTAACCAATGAAAGGATCAAATCAAGTTTAATTTTATTTTTTATTAATATTAAGTATTGTTTAACCCTTGACATATTTCTCTTTGTGATCAGAATGTTCAGACCCAGCTGCAGAACATCTTGGTGTTCCCTCCCAATGGATGGTTGGTCGATGATTACAACGAAGATAGCTCTAGATCTGAACAGTTATTGATGCTTCGGGATCATTGCCTGCCACAGGTATATTAAATCTTATATTTAATATTTGTATGTCTAACGAATTTGTTTAGAGTAATTATCTGTTAAAATTTGGAAGTAAAATCAATTTTTATAACTTTATAGGTTTTCTTACTTCTACATAAAGTGCTGTTCAGCATGGAAAAGCTAGAAGAGTCTGCAAAAATCTTTGCTCTCATTGGCCGAGAAGAGTTTAACCTTGAAAAGGTAAACATTACTATTAATTATAATGAATGAACAAATCTAATTCATTAATTTGATACTTTTTTCTTAAAAAATTGTAATTATGTTTGTACATACGTAGCATAACCAGACATTCCCATTTTTTGGCAAGGTTTCTCCAGGATTTGTTGTGGGACATGTAAATGTCCCGCTTTCAATGGAGCTGTGATACATCCATTATTTGTCCTATACTTAATATTTGTAAACAAAAGACGTAATCTTTCATTCCATTTTCATTCTTGTTAGCTGAGTCTTTGGGAAAAAATTAATCTTCAAGCGATTATTATAAAGGATAACCGTAAAAAATAAAGTCCTCCTTCAAAGTTGATGTACAGAGAAAAGATCCGTTTATAAAACTGAAAAGTTGGAGAAAAAAACAACAAATAGAGATTATATATATATATATATATAATTTCAATTGGAGCTTAGTGCTTGCTTCCTTTCAGGAAGCAGTGCAACTCTTGAGAGAATATTTTCTGCTACTACCAACGCAGAGGCATATAAGAAGCAGCTTTCTATGGATCTTGAAAATTAATACTTTGAAGAAAATTAAAACGAATTTCTGTCACAGGCATCAGTAGTCAAAACCCTACAAAATAAAAAAAGAAGCAACAAAATCGGTTCAGTAGTTCCCGAGAAAATCTTGGCACAGACAGGCAGAACAATGGCTAAAAATGTGTTTTTCGGACTCAGGAGGCTGTGAAATGTATAGATCCGTCGAAAATCGCATGTTGGAAATTTGACCAGATTGCAATACTTTCTTTACCTAGTATAGGTATGAAAGTAAAAAAATACATGTATATATCTAGCAATAGAGTTTTTAATTTTACAAAATTTATATTAAAATATATGATTTTTATTCTAACTCCATCCTTAATTAACAGAGTATATCTGCTTCAGAGCAAAAATATCTGGTCACTTTATGTATACTGCATACCTTTTAACAGCTTTCTCCTATTAAAGGTATTGATGTTATTGTTTTTATTAACTTCCTCTTCCTCAATTGTTCAGGTATTCAAAGCCCAAGTTGCTTCAGATATGGTGAAGGTGATTGAGGAGACAACAGAAGCTTTGATGATTAAAAGCGGAAACCCATTCGGCCACCAGTGCTTGCTAGCTCCCAGAAAGAAACCACCACCGGTTCCGCTTGATGTGCTCCTCAAGAATTTTCCATCAGTCCCACTGGCAGGTAATCTCGCTTCCCATCGTTATTATGAATAATCTTCTAATAAGAGAACTATAGGTTATATTTTTTACATTAGGATCTAATAGCAAAAATCTAATCGTACAGCCTTGTGCATTTAAAATGCAGGTAAAAAGCAAACTAACCCCTCGACATTTTGCAAATCCAGTTGTCAATAGAACAATAAAAACAAAATTACTTCACTCCAATGACATCCAAACACATACCGAAATAGGAGAGGTAACTTTTATTAAGTATGTGTTTGCATGATATTTGAGCACTAGAATTAATTAATATTTAATTATTCAGATTACAAAAAATTGAAAAATAATAGAATTAAGTTGAATATTTGTATATTGGTGTGTTTGGATTTACTTATAAATAAAAATAGCAAGAGTAAAGTATAAAAATTATTATGGCCTCCATTATCATTACCTGGCCTTACAATGGTCTTTAATGATAAAAAGGTTTCCCACCTGTCATAGAGTGTTGTTTTTTACCTTCATTTTGGAGACACGATGCTATGTGGTTGGATTTTTTAAAATTATAACCTATTTAATTTCTGTCTCTTTTTGAAAAATTTTCCTTATTTATAAAAATATATTTTTTATCTTTCAGAAATCTATATTTCTGTTTCATAATTCGTGTTAAATGATGAATGTTTTCAATCATCTTGTTAGATTAATATTTTTACTTTCACTTATCTATATATGGAATATATAGTAAGGATAAGTATTGCGATCGTGAAAATTTTCGAATCTGAGTTCTGCATGCATGTGTCTGTTTGTATGTATGTGATAAGCCTAGCACAAAAACAAAAATTCGTACGTAAACTGAAATTGCGTATTTAAGGTTTTTATGTGCCTGACTTGTTACAGCAACATTTTTGTCAAAATCTGCAAACTGGAAGTGGTACTTTTTATCAACAATGTTACACATTCTTACGATTTTCTCAAAAAAAAAAAAAAAAAAAGGCTAACGATTTTGATTAAACTCAGTATATCCGTGTATTATTAAGTTGTTTTTAATATCACCTAGGTCTTATTCACATTGATGTCACTTTACAGAGCTTAAATGCCAAATGTTCATATACGTCTTTCTCCTAAAATACCTTTAATTTGATTTATTTTTAAAAATAACTCTCTCTTATTGACAGTAACTACATTATTGACAGTCAGAAGGTATGCGTATAATATATCGTTGGAAAGCAGAGAATTTAAAAAAAAAAATAATATCTAATAAAGTTGTAGAAGATAACGGAGAGTGACGAAAAAAATATAAATAATAATTTCTACAAATTAACATTATTTGATGTAAAACAGGTTTCCAAGGAAATTAAATGTAATTTTCTTACTAAATATATACATTTAAATTTTGAAAAACAAGTAAAATACTATTTCATTGTATTTGTATGAAAGAAAAAGTGAAACATAAAAATATTTCATGGATATGTAACCTTAAATACATTTACTGTAGTTTAATAACGCTAGATCTGATATTATATTTAAATAATTAGGTATCTATCGTCTGTTTATTCTGAAAAATCATGTAAACTTTTAGAAAATTAAATCAGTGAATAATTTAATGAATTTTTTATTTGTCATACCCAACAGTATCCACTTACAACTGGTGTGTCAACTTTTGACCTTTCTATGACAGACAATGCAAATATCTTAATTCCATATTAGTAATCTTTGCAATGGAATATAGAATAGTTTAATAATTAATAGTGGTACAATCCATAATCAACCGTTGATATAATAAATAGGATTTTTATTATTTTAATGGTATTAATAATTTGTTAACTGTAAGCTTAAAGCTTTAGCTCGCTTAAAAATGCATTTGAAAAATTTTATAATAGCCCAACATTGCCAAAAAATAATTTATATTCAAGTAGAGCGGTAAGTGAAAGTTGTGTGTTGCGCGCACCAGATTTCTGAACGCAGACTAAACGAAAACCCTAAAACTATGTTTTCCTAGATATGTACTACCATGATGCAATCCACCTTAGGAGTTCTTTTGTACAGCATAAAACTTATAAATATAATGATAAAGATCCACTCAATACTTTTCACAAAAAAAAAAAAAAAAATGTTATCTATTTAATAATTACCAGTAATATAGATTTATGAGTAGATGAAAATTTTTTACTTTTTACAGAAGGAGAGGGTGAGATGATTGAAATGCCAGGAAAAGAAGATGAGGAAGAAAATAAATTAGAAACTTCTCTAACTGAAGATGAATTTGGCTTCATAGAAGAAGAGGTAGAGGATGATGATGACGTATTTGTGGACTGTGAGGAAGATTCAAGAGAAAGCGCAGCAAAATCTTTGATGAAATTCGAGCCTATGAACTACCAATCAGGGAGAAAAATCACTTATTCCAGTTTAAAAATTCAAGACTCATTTTAAAAAAATGGATCAACACTAACATTCAATACATTGTGTAAACTGTAATATCAACAGAATTATCTTTAAAACAGTAAAGTTGATGTTGATGGAACATTTCATTAGAAATTATGCTTTAATTGTATTATATTTTTACACTTGTCATTAATTATTAATTTTTTTACTACAATCATTTATATAAAAAGTTTGTTTTAGATTGTGTAAAATATTAAATAGATTGTTTCATAGTTGTCTTTTTTAATGGTATCCATTATATATCTATATTCAATTTCTTATATATAAAACATTTATAAAGTATATTTATTTATTTATAAATTATTTTTATTTAAATAATATAAATTATTGTTTAAATTATTTACTACTAGGGGAGTAACTCCTAACTGCCTAACACTCCAACCCTCATTTTACAAATTATACAACTGTCCATTTAATTTTACTACCCATCGCTCAAATTTTATATCTGTAATTTACATGTATTCTAGTTCAGATTGTATTATTTTTTATCAACATAAAATAAACTGAACAAAATCACAGTTCAGACACATTTTTAATTTCTTTAAAAATCTATATTACACATCGCGCCTTATTGCCAATTTATATAATTATAATAATTCTTTTGCCATTTTGTAGCCATAATATGTATTCAACCAGTCCAGCTTCATAAAAGCCCAACATCAATTTGAGCCTTTTATTTCTAATATTTTCATTGTACATTATATTATGCTTTCTTTTCTATTTTTACAAATTTAATAGTACTAAAACTGTTGAGGAAACACAGCCATGTCCCCACTATTTAAATTTGAATCTAGTGGAGAAGCAAGCAGCACTGCTGCTATCTCTTGGCAGGCTTTAGAAGCAGACAGACAGAAGAGACATGCAGAGTTCCTGTAAGAATCATGGCGACTTGAGAGATAGATAGAGCTGGCCAGCCATAATTTCATTTGAAAAATATTTTCACAAGAGAGATGGAGTAGGTCCTAAAGAGGCTTAACAAGGGGAGGAGAGGAAACGGAGAGAAGAATGCAGCAAGTACATAAATACTTCATTTTTAGCCACCACCTAACTAATCCGCAGTTAAAATAGTTGTAACAGACATACCAAATTCATTAATCCACTAACAATTCATTGTAAAAGATCTGGCTTTAATATATCAAATTATAAGAAAAATGAAATAGAGCAGTATGTTCAATCCAATGGTTTAATTATATAATAATCAAATACAGTCCAAAACATTCAAATAAAGGTATCAGCTACAAAAGCATAATTATTATGTCAATATCCCTGACAACCGTGGAAGAGATTGGCATAATAAATTAAACAAAAGAATTGCTTTAAGATTAAGGTTGGTCTTGTAATTAATAAAACAAAGTAATTGAAAATTTATGAGGAATAATATCCCTATGTTCAATTTGGAACTTTACCAAATATAATTTATTTTGTCCTTTGTTAGTAGCTATGAGATTGATGGGAGAATTATAGCTGAAGCTAGAGCTTACTTTGCCATTCTTAATTTCCTTAACTCTCAGATGTTTTTTAAAAGAAAAAATATAAAATTGAAATTTTTTGAGAAAAAATTACAGCACAAGTTGATGATCATTGGAAAATAAGGATTATCGCTGTGATACAAAGTTCGATGAAAATTAATTAATTAATCAAGGCAAGTTGCCCTAAATGGATAATTCAAAAAGAAAGATAATTTTCGGTGTTAAGAAAAATGAGAAGAGTAAAAAGTAGATGACGGTTGGGGGGGGAGGAGAAGGATTTCAGAATGTTGGGCGTTCACAACTTGATGAATGATGCATAGGACTATGAGAAATAAAGTAAATTATGCTTAAGGACAAGGTTCACCCAGAGCTGTATAACCAGGAATCAGTAGTAAGTTAAGAGTTTATCATTATTATTTTATTTCTTGATAAAATTAAGTATAAGATCCTTTTTTTTCTTTCCAGTTTTGTCAACATTTAATCATGGGTTAATGTTACTCTCACAAAATATTTCTGAATATGCTGGAAAATTCATTGTTTTAAAGAAGATAAAATTAAAGGTTTCTTAATAATATTCAACATATATTATAATAAATAATGACTTTATTCGGATCACAAAGATTTTTGTTTAAGATATAAATAAACATTAATTAAATAAAATAAATATTTGTGGTTCATATTAAATTCTATGCAGTTAGAACTGATATTTTTTTAAGTTTTGACATAGCCATGGAAAACAATTTTTATGTTCTTAAAAATGAATAAAAATAATATAAATACATAGGTTTTTATTTAATACAATCAATGATCATTAACATTTCCAGTTTACATTAATAGACCTATTCTTTTCATACATAGTACGTTTCAATATTTTTTTTTCTCTATCACTTATATGAAAAATAAATAAATTATAAATAAATAAATATGTTTATGTACATTGTATTTCACTAAATTATCTCACATGTAATTTAGTGAAATAAGTTAAATACCCTCCAGTTAACCCTGAGTTATTTCTCCAGTAAATCAACACAACTCATTAACCATTGAAATAAAATATTGACATTTTGTTTTTAAATTAAGACTAGTTTTAATTTTTTGATTTATGTTGACAATTATGTTTTTTACTGATTTGATCCTATGACCTCTATGATCCCATTCCAGGTTTCTGAAATGCTGATTTACAGATTCTTATCTCCAAACCTGTAATTAGAAGGAACTAGATTGATTTAAGATTTTAACTACTGTAATATTAAATGTTATTTTATTTAAAATTTCTACTATAATCAATTTTCAAATTTTACCTTGCAATAGGCTTGTGTCCCTGGTAGGCAATCACATTGCTGGAATAAGCTCCTTGGCTGTCATCCCAGCCTGACCAACCATGGACTGGTTCATAGACCTTTAAAATGAACGAATCCTTTATGAATTTGAACATTAAAATTCAATTTTTTAAAAATTAATATATCCTAAATATTTAACTTTTTGAATCAGAATTGAAATACATCTTATGTGTGCCTTAATATGAAAGACCAATATCTGTCATACAGCCTGTATATACAGTTACTAAATGTAAGACTTTATATAGGCCTTCAATGACCACTTAAAGATTATTTTAAATAATTTCTTTCTTTTTCTTCCAGAGTAGTTACCGCTATAACAAAACAAAAAAACTAAGGTGTGTGCTTTAGACCAAAGGATGAAAGTGAAAAAATTGACAAGGCGAGATTAATAATATGAAATATATTAATTATAAATATGCTGAACATTTCCCTCGCTTACAGTATGCAGGTCTGATTTTTAGTTTTTGGGTTATTTTAATCCAAATGCAAAAACACTTCAATTAGTCGACTCCAGCCGACTTTACTCGAGCGTTACACGTCGGAGATCTGACTGCTCAATTTCTAATTCACTCTCCAAAGTGCAAAATGCGCCTAAAGAAGTTTTCAATTAAAAAAAAAAATTAATCTTGAATTCGCTCCTGATTCTTTTCACTTTAGCATTGTCTTGTAGGTAATGAAGTTTAAGCACAGGAATGCATTTTTCTTCTAACCGTGATATTTAGAATTTTAAAGATATCGTTATGCATATTCGTAATGTTTATATTTATCTAAATATTGTTAATGTTTGAACATACCTCATGGTGACTGGGGACATGGTGATGTCCGCCCCCGCTCATCAACTTCTTGATCCCAATGAAGGCGGAAACTGCCAAAGATATGAGGGAGGAGAGCAGTGCCTTCTTGGCGATGAGGGCTATCACGATGTAAGCCAGGATGAGGAAGCCCACCACCTTCATCTTCACTGCCACCAGGATCGGGAGGAGGGCTCTCAGGAGCTTCTTCCTCTTACCTCGACCTGCGTCAGAGATAATGTCTGCTTTGAAACTTCCTACATTCAACGATTAGCGATAGTTCGATAACACTACCGATGTTTATTACTATATTTAATAGTATCGATGTTTATGACTAGAGCCTAGATATCATGCGAAAAATATGCAACAAAAAGTAAAATTCTGCCATTTACTTCATTTTTGCTGAAAAACTACATCTATTTTCTTTTCTTAGATATATTACTCGAGTTAAGATAGAGAAATAAATCAATAAAAAAATATAGAAAACATTAATAAGGTAAGTTCATTCTTGCTTATTAGTTTAGTTCCAGAGAGGATTTAAGTCCCATATATTCACTTTTTTTAGTCGTATTTATTATTTCCGAATATCCAAAACCATGATTTTTATCCGAAAGTGTAAGAATAAATGTGTCGATCTCGTAATTTTTCTGCTTAAAATATCGTTGCCCATAACCATATACTCTATGAAGGATCGGAGTTATAGAGAGAGTTGACATTGCATGTTTTTTTTAAACTCTCTTTGTATTAGAAAAAAAAATTTTAATTACAAGTTGCGCCATCAAAGTTATTGAGGGGGGGAATATTTCGATGAGGTTATGCATTTTCATAATTAAAAGTTTCAGACTAAGGGGCGAGGGGAAAATATGCAACGGACCGCCGCAACTGTAATTGTAGATGTTATACGATTTTTCTTATTCTATCTTCGCTTGCTATGTTTTAAAAAAAATGTGAGCAATAAAATATGTTCGGTAGGGGGGATATATTTTTACGCCATCGATCTTGGAGGATGGTTACCCCTTCTGTACAATACCTGTACCACTACAACCCAAGAAGAGTCTCGGATTAGCAAGGAGGTGTTTTGACCGAGATAACTGTTAAACTTCCAACTTTTTTCTTTTAATTATTTATTTAATTAATAGTACCCAATACTCCCCCCTAAGATCAATGACGCATGAAGTTCTCCCCCCTCTCTCCTCCTTCCAACACATTTTATTGCTCTTCTCTTCTTAAATTTGCAAACGAAAGTAGAATTTTAAAATCGAAAATAATATAAAAATACACTATGTGTAGTCTGTTCGATGTTTTCACATTTTCCTCTGGTTTTAAAAGTTTCATTTCGCAAATTCATAACCCCTTAGAAATTTACTCCCCACGAAAATTCAAAACCACGTCAAAATGTGCCCCCTTTAATTCTCTTCTGGGCACCTCTGGTACCCATTGATCTCCTGACCCAATCGATCCTCCCCTGATATAACAGAATAAATAATCACCTGTCACAGCAGGACTCGAACCTAGGACTATGAGAATAGTAGCACAGAACTTTTCTTTCTGAGTTACACCGTTCCCACAAAGTACTGCAAGCTTTCTTTAAATAGTTTAAACACACTGTGCT